TATTGTTATTCAGAGGTACTTAACTATTGATGCCGTCCATTATGTAAAGGTCGATTAAACAACAATAACAGTGGCTACCTGCTGTTAGCTCATTAGTTTCCCCACAAAAAGAGGTGGCAAGCCTTCAGACCCCTCCGCATTGCATGTAAATGCAATAGTAAGGCGTTATTTTAGCTAGCCAGCCCACCTAATGTGAGTCTAACTCGAGAAAACGAACCGAGAGGTGCGACTTTGTCGTCAAAACTTTCAGTGGTATGTCTTCGAGAAGGTGTTTATACTTCGGGATGTTTCTAATTGTTGCCTCCGATAAAGCGCACTGAAGCTGAATGGAAGACGATTAACACAGAACCCCCAAACATATTCACTGATCGCCCTTATTGATGTCAAGCTGTATATGAAGACTGCAAATTTTAGATCAACTGGATATTTATCGAATTGCAGGCACAGGCAGGATTCCCGTTACCCCCCGGTAATCTACAGTATTGAAAGTGAGGTATCACCATGATATTAGTCGTGGCATTGATATTTTTCACCGATACTCACATTAGCGTAAATGTGAATTGACCCCCGATTCAAATTAACTCGCGCGAGTCAAACTAAATCGACTCTCAACTCAACTTAACTCGCGCGAGTAAACGTAAACCTTATGAGGCCGCATTAGCTGTTTACTATCAGTTTTACTTAACTTTTCTGCTATACTGAGTTTAAAATGTGGCCTAGACAGTCTTCGTGGAATAGTACCGCAGATGCGTCTTACGCATTCATTTCAAGCGCAGTCATTTCCTGCTCAAAGTGAAGTTGTGCGTACGTTTTAGGAGCAGTAGCATTGGTACATGTATACTGTTCTGATATCTTATTGTAAACACTGATCACTTCTTTATAATGCATGTATATCAGGTCGGTTGGAGGCTGGTTCTACAACGGTACAGTCCAATTGCAAAAAAACATACGGAGCCCATAGGAGCGATCTGTGAATAAGTTTGGGGGTTCTGCGATTAACGTCTCCCAAGCTGAATCACATTTTGAGCCCACAACCTGGATCTGGATTTTCAGCTTCGTGTCCGTCGTCGTTGTTCATTCGTTCGACTGTTTCGCGACGTGGGTGGGGCCTTAGACGAAGGCTTAGTGGGCGAAGGTGTACCGGTACGCGGTATTGCAGTGTTGGGCGGGACTGATTAACGCCATCGAAAGCCGGCAACGACGGCCACCCGTCATCTGGACCAGATTCTGGTGTCGTGTGGTGGGTGCAGCTCCCTTAAATGATTTCTTTATATATTTATAAAATGCGGCTTCCCGACGCTTTCAATACAGAGAGGATCGTCTGTAGTAGTTTATTTATTAAAACGGCCCATCGACGCTAAGAAGAATTTTGTGGCGCGGACTCCGCCGAATTTAAGTATGTGTCAGGAAAACGTCCTAGCTTAGGAGTCCTAGGTACATGTAGGACCTAGGTGGCGATGATTACTGTCCTGTAACCCTGGCTGATCTGGCATGTGTAGTTCTGTACAGCCTATACAGTATAGAACGTCACTGACGACTCTGTACTGCACAATGTGGCTTTTGAATGTGAATCGCATGGATTATATTAGCTACAATTCTGGACACAATTATACGGCTACCTCGTTGACTCAACACTCAACGGTTGAGTGCCCATAACTCTGTCACTTTTTTTACGGTGCGGCTCACACAAGTTGCAAAACTTGCTTTGGAAAAAGCAAGGATGTGCTAACGCTCGCGTTTTTGCACTTTATAGAGAGGCTCACACACAAGAAAGAAATTAGGAGAACGAGTGATTTACACCCAACAGTACGGCCTTCCCACACCAAAAACGGGTGAGCACCCATAGACTGTGCAAACACAACACGCTGTGGAGGAATCACAAATAGATTTGCATGCCTTTGCACGCTGCCACTTCTGCGCAGACGCGCCACAGGAGTCAAATAAGACCCAATCAGAACATAACTAGAGCTGTCGAAAATAGCCCAATCAGAGCCAGCCACTACAGCCCAATCAAAGTTCCCACATTTCTCGATTCAAAAAATTGAATTTTTAATTTTGAACTTCACAATCTACTCGACCCCGCTATGCAGGATGCCGAAGCGGATTGACTGGAAGGACGTGGCGCTTGGCATCTCCGCCCTCGACGCCGAGGGGGTGCTGAGCACCTTGAAGACGTACGAGGTGACCAAGTGCAACCAACTGGCGAGTGTGGTGTGCCCAGAGGACGCCACACACAAGATGTTACCACCTACTGAAGTGTGCGTCGGAATCGTGTAAGTGAGCGAGCCTTCAGCCTAGAGGTGGTTTCAGCGCCAACCCTCGTACGCAGGGTCTCTGAGATGATCCGTGAGGAGCTTCTGTATGAGGGCTGACGCGATCCAGGTGATATTCCGAGCGCTGGACTCGTACGTGTAATTTCATGTCCAGCTAAACGCATTCAAGTTTCCCCCAACGCACGCAGCGAAGAGGGTATCGCAGTGAGTGTTAGACGGGCGTAAACTACGCCAGGATGGAGTTTGAGGGATGGCCGTACGGTGGCTGGATGGTTGACACCACCCGTATGTGGTGTCAATGTAGCTACTGGTTCAACTTTGGTGTGTGCGTGCACGTCCTCTTCGCGCAGCGAGCCCTCGAGTACATGGACTGTCGCGGGCAGGAGATATTGGTTACGCGCGGCAAGCAGAAGAACAGTAGGGAAGGTCTGAGCTCACGAAGCGGCCATCGTGGTGGCCGCCCACTGGGTGTTGGCCCAGCGTTGACATATTGAGATCTTGCATTTGCGCCCAAGCTATTTAACTAGCGCCGGGATGCCTTTTGCATTGTATGAGTTGATCCGGTAATCCAATCGAGGACTTTTATATCATGGACAATATAGTGTGTGCTTTTCGCTTTGACAATATATCAGAAATAAAAGCGATCTTTAAGAAGAACCCTTCGATGGTATTCATACCCAGCCTTTTTAGTAAAAAGATCATCATCGAAATTTGAGCAATCTCGCAATATCAAGGCTGCTGGTCCTTCTTTTCTGCATGAAGAACTTTGAATATCGAATCTTTCTTGACTGTCTTCAGAGAAACACCTCGCATGTAGAGTATGCGAACAAGATATCACTACACGATACCGTTGAGATACGAAGTCGTACTCTATTTTTATAAACGCTGGATTTAAATTCGCTTCAACTACGTCTGTGAAGGTCGCTTCTTCCGACACTGGTCGCACGCGCATTTGAACCAGATCTTGTTACCGTAAGAGATCGTGATCTGGGCTCCAACGTCGACTGTAGCTTTCATACGGCACAGCACCTTAACCTGCGTCTTATTCTGCATTTCCACGAATTCTACGCTGGAGCGGCACGAGTGCTTCAAGAATCTTGCGGTAGTTCCAGCAGCCAACGCCTCGATATACACAACGTTTCCACGCGTGGTTTTCTCGTTCAACGTCGTGGTGAAGCCGCTGTTCTGCTTCATGGCCCCCTCGGGTTGGCCCCGCATTTATTTTTGCGCACTTCTGCCAGCTTCATTCGTATGCCAGGGATTCACTACAAGTCCTTCATTGTCTTCGCCTTCCAGGCGTGCGCAGGATAGATGCTGGTGCCGCTGCGAGTGGGGGGCGCGTCTATTCTGATAGCGTTTCTTTCTTGATTTACTAACGTGGTAGTCAACCTTTCTTAACTTGCGTCTGTGATACTGTGTCTCGCGCTGTGCGAGCGTCGGGACCGCCAAAATCTCACGTAGAGATACCAGCTGATATAGAGTGGGCTGCCTTAATTCTTCCTGCTGCTCTGTCTGCTCAGGTTGGTCTGGAGTGTCTGGTTCGTTGGCTTCAGCCTTTTCCTCGGATTACAGGTGTGCATACTCCACATCCACCTCACCTCCACCTTCTTCGACTTGTTTTACTTCGGAAAAAAGACCGCTAGCCTTCTTTTTTGTAAAACTTTGTCGTGTTCGTGGACATGAGAACGACGGCGTTCATTCTGTACAAGTCACTCGAGGCGTCATCTTCCACACTAGCTCGCTGCAAGATTTCCTTCGATGGATGACCTTGCGCAGGGGTGGCACCAGTCTTGTATGGAGCGGTAGGAGCCACCAAACAACCAGGGGGAGGCCTGGATAGCTTACTGAGCGCGGCCATCTTGAGCTTCGTCTTACCCTTGGTTTTAGCGGCTGCTACGGTGACTGGCGCATTTTCCTCGTATGCATCCTCTTCCTTGGACTCGTGGGCATCGGTGGGACCGTGATCAACGGCCGCAGCAACTGTGGTCGTTCGTAGTGACAGCGATCGGGGCCGCCGCCTTGTCGAGCGAATCATCCACGCTCGTAACAACAGCAGTCCTGTAGCCCCGAGAGTCGCCGGCGACATACATCTGAGTGTAGTAGGTGATCGTGTCCCCAGCGTACAGCTTCATAGGCGGAAGCTGCGCGGAGGACAGCCCGACCATGGCGGTGTGTAGGGTGCGGTGGCTGGCGTCTTGAGGCCAGAAGCCAATGTTTGCTTCCAAACAACGAGCAACTTTTGGGTCACATTCAAGTAACACACATCATCCGAACAAGTACTGCATTTGGCTGACGCGGGTGCGGCAGCCCCATTAGCCCTAGCCTGGGGCCCCCACGGTCTGGGTCTATCAGAAAGGCCGGGTCTGTTGCCCCGCCCCTGTTTTTTTGTGTTGGAATCTTGATGTGTTGGTCAAATCGGTTCGTGTGAAAATAAGGTTATCTCGAAATTAGAAGGTGGTCACAGTTTACGGCCACTAGGGATTGAGAGCTCAACGTAGTTGCATGGGGGTGTAGAATCTGTAGCTTACGGTGTCGTTACTGTAAGTGTATTAAAACAATGTAGCTATAAAACAGAAAGAGAGCTCAAGGAATCTTGACAAGGATTGTATTTGGGAGCCACAGATTGGATTGGAAGAGAACTGGCTCAGTCTGACAGCAACGTTTGCCGCAAACAGACTTGAAAGATGAACTTGGCCAACCATTTGGGAATCTGCGCTCCCTGGGAACATGCGTGTTCTATTCATTCTAGCTGTGACTTTTACTGGTCTGCTGGCCTGTGCAACTGCTTTGGACTCGGAGAAAGCTGCACAGATTTCCAACGAGCAAGTACTCTCGGACCGCCAGTTGATTGACACTGTCACCAAGGAAAGCAAGAAGCGCTTGCTGCGAGTCTACAAAGATGCTGAAGACGGTAGCGAAGACTCCAAGAACGTGAGAACCACCGCTGGCTCCAAGCACGCCGACGAGTCGGAAGACTCTGAAGACAGCCAGGAGGAGCGATTCTCGCTTGTCTAGACGTCCAACCAGCCCCGATACTACTGGTGGTTCCAGCATCAAATGACACCTCGCGATGTTCGTCGGGAGCTGGATTTGAAGGCGGACACGATTAATCTCTTTAAGCAATCGTTCTACATGGGTTATGTCGACTACTACGAGGATCACTGCGCTTATGCCGAAAACCGCAAGGAGGACTTTTGCAAGGCAGACGACGTTTAGCTCAGAAAGACGACGTAGAGAAATTAAGTTGCCTCCGCAGCTATAAGTACTCCAATCCATTACATGTAGCATTTGTGTTTGTAAGTAATTCTCCCTCTCGGATTTAGGTCTTCTATTTACGGGATGCAAGTATTAATACGAGTGCAGGTATAATAAGCTGCAAAGCGTTTCTATCATTCCTACTGAAAGCACTACTACTAATTATAGTACTACGTCACGTACCTGTACGGTAGTACACTACAGTTCTTTTACGTACTTCTAGTAGTAGTACTACGTAGCAGTAGTTTTTCCTGGTACTGGAACGAGAAGTGCATGTGCTAGATTATCCTGGTAGTGCAACGAGTAGTAGTAGAATTTGCGATTATTTGCATACACCAGAAGTGGGTATCGATTCGGTACAACTATCAAATGAGAAGGTCTTGTTTTCCTACCATTGTGTATAAACTTCACAATTTTCAGTCCACAGCAAAGGTTTGGCATGGATACATGTATAAACGGATAGAAACTTGGTGTACAAAAACAATATTGCCCACTTTACTCCTCGACGCTTGTTTTTAGAAAAAAATACTTTTCTCCAGATTTTCTTACACGGCTAGGTGTTGTGCACGAATATCACTGATATAAGTAGATCTTAATAACTCTAAAGAGGTCTGTAAACGTAGCTGTCGATGCCGTTGAGGTGTGTGTCGAGCGGCAGAAGGATAGGATCTCCAGACTGGTACAATTTCCCGCCCCCTTACCGAGTAGCCTGTCCGACTATCAATAAGTCCGTCCGGTTCCTTTCTTGCTGCTTTTTCCTGCGTTTTCGCATGGCCACACCCGGCCTGTCTTATACAGCTTCGTCCCATCTTAGGCTGATTCTCAACCGGCACGACCGCACCGCAGCGCATGGCTTTGTAACGTGCGGCCGCATCGGTTGAGACCAAAACCAGCGACTGCGAGCAATCAATAACGACGGCTGGTGGTTACAAATAAATATTATTGATCTCAGCCGGCACATTCCAAGCCTCCACCAGCAAAGAGTAAGTGAACCTGAACTACATGTATACGTTTTTACTAGCAGCTCAATAGCCATGTTGCTGCATACAGAATAGAGTGGTTTAGCAGAAAGCTACGAACGCGTGACGCCCGTTTTTTTGTGAGGAATGCCAGAGACGAGCGTCACACGTTCGCTCAAGTGATGTAGCTACGACTGATAAGCTTTCTACAAGTCGTATACAAATGTATATCTATGCACTTTAACATCCGAATACTGTAAACCACAAGTTGGTGGAGCACAAAGTTCCAGTGCTCTTCCAGTTTACATCTTGCACCAGCAGTCACCAGCCGCCGCCCATGGAGTCTTCTCGCCCCACCAAGAAGCGCAAGACACAAGTCCGCTTCGATGAGGACGACGACGATGCTCTGCTCAAGGAGGTGCTCGCAGCGAATCCATTTGAGGTGGAGCGTGGCGGGAAGACGGCTACATGGGCAGCCGCGGCCTCGGCTTTGGCGCTGGATGTGGATGCAAGGCGATGCCGAGAGCGCTGCTCTCTGCTGCTCACCGACTTCAAGGCCAAAATGGCTAGAAGTGCAGCAGCCAGTGGTATCGATAAATAGCACACCGAGAGGGACGACCTGCTCGCCGACGTGCTAGAGCTGTTCGAGGACGCTGATACGGTGGAGGAGGAGAAGAAGCAGGCCAAGGAAGCCAAGCAGCGAGACGACGAGCGCGCAGATGCAATGCGGGACGAGGCCATGACCGGAATGAAGTAGAGAACGAGCAAGCGTGACAAGTTCGCTGAGCTGATGGCACACGTCAAAGAACGAGATGAGTTTGCACGTACTGCGGAGCTCAAAAAGGTAGCGAACGAGGAAAACCGCATAGCATTAGAACGAGAGCGTTTAGCGTTAGAAAAGGAAGAGCGCATAGCATTTATTGAGGTTATGCGAGCTATGGCAGCTCGAATTCCGCAGTAGGAAAAGCGAGCGCTACGTAGGTTTCGAGTGATGGCGGACTAACTCCGAAGAAACGACTGATCTGGTTGGGACTAGTACAATTTCTAAAGTTTGTCAGTAGAGCAGCAACTAGGTAGTACTTGCCGACAGGAGAAAGTAGGAGCTTGAACGAAACCTTCATATCCACGTACGGCCACAACCCAGTTACTCCACCAAACCCCCACTCGACAGATACAAACACAGCACTCATTGCACCATTAAAGGCTATTTGATCCCGCGAAAGGCGTGAGCCTTTGAAACCGACTTGCAGTGTAGGCCGATTTGGGTAAGCAGGATCCCCGTACAAGCAGTACGACTCGCCATGCACGCTAACAAGACGCTGCAAAACTTCACTTACTCGTAGCAGGTAGACATCATGCCGACGACCGAGAACGGGGCCGTAGAAGTCGATGAATAGTCCGTAGGGAGCCATGACACCTTGATACTTGAGTGCATGCTTGCGCTTGTGCCCATTATAGCACTGCCGTTAATTGCGCACTGGTCGGGCGATGCCACGCACCGTGCCATCAATGAAGCCGATACACCTGTCGATAGGACTGCCGCGTGCAACGACCGCTGCAGCGTAAGATCCACACCTTGATGAGCTCGATATGCCGCACTCAAGGGCAAGAAGCTTGCTGCACTTAGCGTAGATTAGGTCCACCATGAAGCGAAAGATCGGGCACAGCGCACTGGGCGACCTGCCGAACATCACAGCAAGATCCCCGTACCGTCCAGGGTACGCGAGCCGGCGCAGCAACACACAGAGCCTCTCGACTTCACCAACGCGAAGGCGGCTCGGTAGCTTGTAGTCTTCCTCAAGCCGCAGCGCCTTGTGCAGCCGAATTACGTCACACTTCCAGAATCGGAAATTAAAACGACAGTCTCCGTCGCTTAATGCGTTGAAATTGGAATTACCCTTCAGTGTGAGGACTGGTCGTGGAATAGGAGATCTGGCGAAGAGCACAGCGGCGTCCTCGACGAGGACGAGGTCCAGAGCGGTCGCTGCAAGGACTAAGCTCTGTTCGAGCATCTTGACTGGCTTGCGTGCTTTGCAAATGTAGTATACACCAAAGACTGATAAGAGCTCGCGTTCGCTCTGCAAAATGTTCGCTGGCAAACCAACGTGTGCGGCAGTGTGATTAGGGTTGTGTGATTAGCGCTAGTCTACAACTCGCACAAGTTCCTGCTGCTAAACCACTCTAATGTCATCTCCCGGACGGCAGCGCGTACGCCACGAACTGTCTGCATTTCATCGCTTCTGTTATCGTTGCTGACCAAAAATGATGCGAGAACAGGTAAAACCAAATAAACAAACTCGATTTCTGCAGCTTTAAGTAGTAGATGTAAGTTAGACATGGTAGTGAACGAATGTGTACCTCGCGAACGAAAGAGGAAGTGATCTTTTTAAGGTTGAAGCAGACACCCCCATATGATCGTGAGTCACAAATCATTTTGATTGGTTATTCTTCACTCGACCCCTACACTCTACTGTGCGGCAAGTTTAGCGCATGCGGGCAAATTGCCGCATGAGCGTCTTTTTATGAGCTTCGTCGCATGCGACCACCTACCCCGTAAGCCAATTAGAAGACTCTATTTGTCCTCCTGCGGCCGCATGCGGTCTATATTTCCGGTTGAGAATGAGCCTTACCGACCGCGTCTATCTTTCTGACTCGACCTGACTATGCCAAAATTACAAATGTATTCAAAAGCGTCACACAATTCACTAGCGCCCTGATTGGGCAATATTTGATGACCTGCGACACTGACTGGATCTGTTGCACGATCAGACCGTCTCTCGGACTCGCGATTGGACGTGATGTAAACATTTCTGCCAAGCACGAAACGCACCGATTAATTGTAAACACCAAAGCGAGCTGTCTCGACGATTAAATATTTACATTTAGCTATGCAAAACCTGTCTTATGTTCATCAAATCGGTCACTCTAACAACCGCTTTTTGTAGGGACTTTGCGAATAGTTTTTTTTACTTCTCCTGGCACGAAGGCGCGCGGCTGCACGGTCATTGCACTATCTGCTCTCGTGCACCACACCCTATGAATGCATGCGCGTACGGTACATAGTCTTTTAGTCACTTTTATTGCATGTAAATTATGTTTTTGTTTGGAATTATAATAAAAGTAATATTATAGCAAAACCAAAATATTAAATATCAGCTTTTTAATATTTTGCTTAAATAATAAATATTAGTCTTTTATTACCGTGCTATTGGCTAATGTCTGACGCACGTAATTGGCTAAAACAATATATTTTGCTAACTTGCTCACAGTTTGCAAAATGGTGGGTCCTACGTGCAAGCAATGCGAGGCGAAGATTAACCCGCTCCTGCTGAGCCAGCAGCGGTCTACGACGGACCCACTAGCGATCTGCGTCTGCTGCGGGAAGCTGCAGTACGGCTACGCGTTCCGTACAATTAGCGGGCGGGACATCGTTCGGCGCTGTATTGCATGCGAGAACGGCTTAAAAGCGACCGATCTCTGTGAGAAAATGTCCCACCCACTCCACCCTTACCAGACTCAGCGCAGGTGCACCCTCATAATAGTTTGGCTAATGTTATAGAATCGTGGGCCCTGAATGGTACCGCCAAAAGTAATAATTAGAGCATCAGCCCTCGCAAAGAGACTGCCCGAAACGCCAAGCACCTCGAGCAAACGAAGCAGTACAAGAGCAAGTAATTTTAAGAAGGAAAAAATCCCCTTTATTCCCCTTCACCCATTTATCTTTGTTTTTTTGTATACTTGCGGATACAGTGAGACTTGGGGTGAGCATTTAGGTCGCACATATGGTAAACTGGCTATGGC